TGAAATGATTAGTTAGTTGATGGAATCCATGTCTCAGTATAGAGATTGATGACACACCTTTTATGAGAAGCTTGTAAGTTTTCATGTGTAAACCCGGCCGTAGATTTATGAATCTGGCACATGAAATAAGTTAAGTATTTCTCTAAAAGAATTTAATCATTGAATTAAATTCGTCAGTAATTTAATTTATTGATTAGTATCGGTAATCTTAACATGGGGAATCAAATAAATGTTTAGTGGTGAATTTCGAAATAAATAGAGGAGTTCAATTACGAATTTTTAGTGGAATGATTTGTAATTTATTATGGTAAGAATAATTTAAATTAAATATTTAGAATTATTTCCATAATAGGAAGCCCCAGTAATAAATTCTGTGGTCCCTCCAGTGCCCAATTTAACTAGAACTCAGAATCCTATTTTCTAGTAGAAGATGGAAAAGTAGCGTTCTTTTTCTTTGGAGGAAAACGTGTGTTTTCAAGTTCTCCTAAAAGAAAAAAAATTGGTTTTTCCTCTCCTCTTTGGACTAGGAAGACATCTCCTAAAAGGAAAAGAATTGATTTTTCCTCTCCTCTTTGGACTAGGAAGACATCTCCTAAAAGAAAAAGAATTGGTTTTTCCTCTCCTCTTTGGACTAGGAAGACATCTCTATAAATAGGGATTTTTCTAACCTAGATTTCACAGAGAGAATTCTATACAATACTTGCCCACCCAAGTATTGAGAGAGTTCAGTTGTTGATTGGGATCACTGTAGAAGACTATAGAACTGGAGTTGGATTTACTTCAAGATATCTGCACACGCTTCAAGAGGTAATCCTGAGTTAATTTTCAGCATACTTTGTATGTGATAACTATTTGTGATTGTTATTTATATTCATGCAAAATGTATGATTCTGGAATGCTTCCGCTGTATATGCTATTTTCTAACACCTTTTATGTCTTAAACACTGTCACATATTTATGCAAAGAAATTAAAAAGAAATATAACATCTATTGTATATGTAAAATATAATACTTATAACTTTATTTTATGAAGAATATTCAGATAAAACCCTTGCCGTGTCCTAGCTTCAGACGTATCGAAGAGATGAAGATTCTATGTAGAGATAGAAAACAAGACCTAAAATTTTAATTTGAGAAAATTAGATTATAGTCATAATATAAACGAAAAAAAATCTTATATAAAATCTCTTGTATTTTATTTACTGATTTTATCTTTTCATAATGTCACATAATCAAAAGAAATTTTGTAATGGACCATGAAACTGATCTCGATTATAAAGCCAATATTTACCTTGAACATCAATAATTCTACAAATCTTGAAAACAAAATTATATGCTGAAGTTCAAGTTTCAATGTTAAATATTAAACTTCCTAATCTAATTCTCACAATAATAAATATGACACATTTTATTCAAATTTAAAATGATAGTCCATATTCCTAAATCAATACCTCAGAATATGGGTGGCATTGCCTTGACCAAATTCATATATAAAATGATTGTGTGGATAGAGATAAGATAAAAGAATACAAATCTACATAGCATCTTTTTGGTAAACTCAACTTTGAAAATCGAAATGAGATCTGAATATTAGATAGAGTTGGTGTATCAAAATTAAATTTTGGAGCCTGAAGGATATAATATATTAACAAAAATTTGAAATGAATAAATAAATATTTAAGTTGAGGTGTATAGGAATCTTGTTTTTTAAAGAAAATTCAAGTGCGCTGTGATATGTTTTTCATTAATTAAATAGTATACTGTTGAGTTATTCCTTTCAGAATATAATAGTCCAATAACATTACGTGACTTAAACAGTTCTAGATTAACTGAAGAGACTTCTTCGTTTATATCCTCTGCACTAAAAAGAAATTAGTTCCTCTTTTGTATAGATAAACCTTATTATTATTAGATAAAACCCGTCCATTATTACGGAAAAAAAATAAGTAAATTGGAGACTTAGAATATTTTTTTATCTCGATCAATTCTCTTTTTCACTACAATAACATCAAGACATAAACATAATATAATACTTCTCATATTTTCCTTCTATTTGTAATCGCACTCCTCGATTAAATTTTGAACTCTACCATTTCATCTTATTTAACTCTGTTAGAATAATCGACACCAATCAATTAAATCAAAATTTCTATTATTTTATTGACTAACTTTATCACTTCTTATTATCCTTAACTTAATTCACATGATGGATATAAAATCTACCTACAAGATTTCACGTAAAAAACTAATTATAAATAATCATAAGGGGGTGTCTTCTATCTCCGAGACATGATTCTATCAATTAATTATTATTTCACTAATGCATTTCGTTATTATCTAAATCTATTACAGTATATTGAATCGTAATAGAATCTTACCTTTTAAAAGATTAAAATAATAAATCAAACTATATAGATCAAAATAATTATATCAAAATTAAGAATATAAATAAATGTAATGGACTTGAGAATTTAGTTTTAAATGTTCAGAATATAAACATTCTCTACTTGTCTGTTCAATACCTAAAGAGAATGTATTATTACTACAAGAAATTGAAATATGATTACTCCCATAATTAAAATTAAATTATATTTAATCTTATGCTACTATTATTACGAAGTTTGTCTTACTTCATATTTATCATCTTAATAATTGTGAGAATTAATAATCATAGCAAATGCCAACTTCTGGAACTAATAATAACATTATCATCCATTTCAAATGGGTGATACGCGATCATTCAGGCAATTTGATATAAAATACTATGATACATGAAATACTATGATATAAAATACTATGATACATGAAATAACTTTGTGTTGAGATTTATTGAATTCGATCTTCCTTTTAGATATATCTCTCCCTTATGTATCTGGATGTATTATGATACATTCCCCCCCTCTCGTATATATTCTTTTCCTATATATCTTGATGTATTCGGAAGTCTAAGTGATATATCCGGAATTCATAAATTATAAAGGACTTTGTGAATTGAAAAAAAAGTAAGAAAATAATGTATTAGCTCTTAACGTTATGAGAATTATATAGTAAGCAAGAAAATATTATCATAAAAAAATTATTTATCTAACAAAGCACTATGGAGACCGAAGTGTGTAGGATGGAGATAATTAAACTTGAAATACACGTGTGTTTTCAGAGAAATTATTTTTCTCATCTTTTGAACTTTGTTTATTAGAGATATTTTTGATTAATCAAACATAAGAAAATCGAACATTAAAAAATATTTTCCTCCATAACAGTGATGTGTGCAGTCTTATCGCGATTTTGAGAAAATAGAGAAATTATTTTCAATATTAATAACATGAAAAAAGTAGTGTTTATATTATCCTCCACATATCCATGACACAAGAAAAAGATACTCCTACGTTAAATCAAATTTTGTAACAACCAAACTTTATAGTATATGATCAATCAGTAACTGAAACCTAAATATAGAAATAGTACTATTAATTTTGCCAAGTTGTTGAAACAAACTTCCCTTTATATATATATATATATATATATATATATATATATATATATATATATATATATATATATAAGAATTACTAAAATATCAACCAATATTAATTTTTAAACCCCTAATTTCGATTGTATGATGAATTCAATGATAATAACTAAAATATCAACCAATATTAATTTTTAAACCCCTAATTTCGATTGTATGATGAATTCAATGATAATAACCTTGCAACAGTAATAATATAACTTGTTTGGATGGTTGTTACCTATTATATTGTATTATACAATATTTTTTCGAATGTTTAATTAAATTTTACTGTATATTTATGTCATTAAGTTCAGTGTTGTACAGTAACACAAAGTTCTATAACGATTGATTTTGTGTGATTGTCTTATTACATTATTTCCCCGGCCCTTACATTACCTTTGCTTATTATTTAATAATAATTTGTTTAATCTTTTATCTTACTTCTTTTTATAATATCTTTGCCTCGTATTCTTCATTTCTGTAAATTTATCCTTTAGATTATTGACATGTGACATTATTTATGTAATAACGAAAAACGATACAGTGTATCCTTAAGAAATAATATTACTAATACAATATGTCTTGTAGAGTCTTACATGATCAGAAGATGATAAATTGTACAAGGTATGAGTATATAAATTGTATATTAATTAGCTCGACATCTCTCAACACAAAAAGACATATTATATATATACTAGTTTTGGACACGTGTGTTAGCACATGAATCTCAGGTAAGCATTAATTCTTGTAATATGAGTCATTTTAAACTGCATTGTTATGAGTATGACAAACTATTTAGTCTGTAAATACAAATTGAAATAAAATGAACAATCACCCTATTTGAGTGACTTCTTTGTTGATTGGCCAATGATTTTAGATATTCTCTAAACCTACAAAAATTGAACAAAGTAGAATAATATATTTGAATTGTTGGAAGGTGAAACAATCCTCTCCATTAAAATGATTCAATGCAGCAAATATTATCATCCACAGAAGGATTTTTCTTTTCTTTTCAAACTTTTCTTTTGTACTACTTTTCTGTACAATATTATTAATAGGGATAGTTTTTAAGTGAAGGGTAAAACGGTCACATATTTGTCGCACTTTCTTTATATAATCATTTTAAAAAAGAACGTCTCATTCCTTTGTTTTGCTAACTCTCTTAATTCTAAGTTTTTGCATGACATGTTTAAGACGACAATAATAAAGGGTATTTTGGTATTTTACATTAGGACCACAAAATTAAAAATTCTCTTACCTCTTAAACACAATGCCAAATTGAAACGGAGAGAGTACCTTTTTCGAATGGTGCGAGTGCACCAATTACTTCACCTCAAATTATATGTATGTGTGTCTTTCAACAAGATTATATGAAACATATATTAACTCGAAATGAATCAACGATATATACGCACGTTTTTTAATTGGGTTGTGATTGCATGTGCACTCATTGACTTAACCTCAACTAAACATATATACATACATATACGTCTATAAAGTTTTACATGAATAGGAGAGAATAAAATGTAGCCAAAGATGACCTGCCGATATGTCATTGCATTAGGCTACAACATCTCGGCAAGTCATCCTTGGCTGCACTCCACTCCCTACCTCTTCATACAATAACTCTCTAGACAAGTTATGAGGAAAATAGAGGTCTCCACAAGTAGAAATATAGGAGAAAATGATGTATTATGGATCACAAGTTTCATGTAGCTATTAGAATGACTCAATGGGCAAAATTGCTGTGAATATTTATAGGCAAAGGAGGACAAATAAAGGATGAGAAAGAATTTATTCCTATATGTCCCAAAATATACATGACTTGTAGACTTTACCAAAAGTGGAAAATGCCCATGCCACATGCATTGCCCAACAAATTATGTAGCTTTTAATATAGTCCAATTTGGACCACATGTAAATAAAAGTATTGGTTGAAGTGCTCAATTTCTCATCATAATGGAACCTGTTCAGATATTATGACATTTGGTGGTGATGGGGTGTGGGGGTGGGGTTGCCAAACAATTTAATTTGGTTTGATTTACACAAACTATGAAGAACCCTAGTATCTTTCTATTATTTCTTTTGGGGTGTTGTGGGTTCAAATTTTACTAGTATACTTTTTTATGTACAATAGATGATGTGAAGCACTTGATACAAATGAGAAAGAATCTATATTCCTATATTACCACCCATGAAACAACCATGCAAAATAATTTAGTTTAAAAATAAAAACTCATGGTTCCCCATTCAGTACAAAATTGAGTTGTGTTGCTCAAAAAATTCATGTTTGACCTATTAGAAACGCGTAATTATGCAATGATATGAACCCTATCTTCTAACAATATTCAAAAGCCATTAGGTAATTGGTAATCTTCAACAGTCTGCAAATTCAGAGTCATTAGATTGTTTCTTCATAAACTCAGCAACTACGCGGGAGGGATAAACACCAAATATCACACGCGGTAACAACAGGATAATTGTGTCATCCTCTCTGTAGACATCTCACTTGAAGAGTTCTGGATTCAGCCAGTCCCTACCAAAATGAATTAGCAAGAGAAGAAGAAATCATAAGTAAATTATAGAAAACAATGTGGATGTAAAGCAGAGCTAAAGCAGATAATTGTATGTAGCTATTACTTGCTAATGTCATCCAGATGGTCATCGAAATCCACGATGTCCTTCCATTTCCCTGATGAGACATAGTCTAGAAGAACAATATTTGCAGATGGTTCTTTGATTTTCAGAGAGCCGCTTGCATCAGCTCCCGCTAGTTTCCAGCTCCTAGATGATTCCTTAGTGTAAAGCTGAATAAAGAAAAAGAGCTGAAGTAAAGGAAACTGCTATATTGACATGAACTTGTTAAAGAACACAACTATAAAATCAGAGTCATATACCAGCAAGACAACTATTTTTGTACAAGACTAAATTACGAAAACACAAATAATTGCCAAGAACAAGCTTTAAAGTCAAGCAGAACCTGGACCTCTGAATCAGCTTGTAGTGCAATATGTAACAAAATTATAAAAGGAGAACCAAACTAATACAGAGATTAGCGACATTGACAATTTAAGTATCACAAATTGTTATCCAACGGATTTCAAAATAACCACATATAGCACTACCGGTAATATGTATGCAAGGGTGTGGGCCTAATGGTCAATGATGTGGTCGAAATGACAGTGGACATAAAAGTCCTAGGCGCTTTCTTCCCATCTATCCAAGCCTTGGTCCTGATACTTGTGCTGGTGAAAGATAGTATGTGCCCCGTGAATTAGTCAACGTGTGCACAAACTGAAGCAAACACCATGATTACCAAAAAAAAAAAAGGAAAAAATGAACTGATGGAAATATTGGTAAAGGGGTAAAGAGAACCTGATTTAGATTATGCAAACAATATAACTATCCAGCAAGGCTTTATTAATAAGGAATTCCAAAACTACCCCAAGAAGAATCTGAAGTTCAAAATTCTCAGGCCAGCTGTCTATTGGAACTCTTTTCATAAGAAGCCAAGTACTCATAACAGATAGTTCTCCGTTTTTCACATGAAGATGAAAGCAACTGATAACTTGATTTCATCTGATTGAGTTAGAGCAACTTTCTCCTCTGTTGCAAGGTAAGCATGGTGATTCATCTTCATCCCATATTAAAACAGAGAAAATAAGGTCCATTTCGAATTCAAACTTGGATGCTGATATTGTTTTCCCCCCTGAAGATGTTGGAATGGGATTTCTAATTCTTTTTATATTAGCCAACAACAAATATCATGGGCAAATCTAGAGATACCTCAAACATGGCATCAATTTTCAGATAGACACCACCACTAACTTTCATAATGATTATTTGAACACTTTCACTTGACAAAATTATATCTCGTGCACGCCTATCACCAACATGATAGGTGTCATGCACCTAAATTTTAAGTGCATGAAAACATAATTTTTGGTTGATATAACTCATATTAATTCCTTTTGTTTCTCATCCTCTCCGACCTGCTATGGTCGCCTTCACATCTTCAATGATTGCCACATCTCATTCTTTTTTCTTTTCCCCTTTTTAACACCAATACTCAAAAGCAATTATCAGAAACACAACTGAGTTATTTAAACAAAAGCTAACTCATCAATCAAAATTTTTGTAGGAAATGTTTTGACTGGCTTAGGTCAATTACAGTATTTTCCTTCACATCGACTACCATTATATGCTTGTAATTCCTTTAGACTCGACCAAGTAACATTGGATGACAAACCCATTTCATAAACACAACGGGAATATAGTCCAACAAACAAGATTAAAAAAAATTGGGACAAAGTCATCAAACCCATCATTGAACTAAATGAGTTCACTTTATTCATTTTACTTGCCCACAATTTTTCCACCTCAGATGGGTTCTCAACTTTCCTTCTTTCTCGAACCCATTATTATGTTCATCTTTTAGCCATGATGATTTCAAGAACAAGTTGTTCTCCTCAACAATGGTATTATAGAAATGAACCCATCTTCGATGGAAATACAAAAAGAATATCCAATTTTTTATCAAATGAAATTGCCTTCGAGACCTTAACAACAGTCCTAAGAAAGAGTTTCAACTATTCAAGAATGTAACGCATTTAGTGTCCTATATGGAAAAATGATTTGTGTAGAATACATCCATAAATAGGGATTTGATACCATCGGGCCAATCATGTTAAGCCCTTGATGGTAGTGCTATGGTTCGGTTCATAAAAATGGTCACCTGGTTTCTTGTTCAGGGACAAGCAGCTTTCTTGTGACCTACTTGCTTGCAATCCCAGCATTTGATTTCTTAATCAAAACTGAGGCCCAATAGGATTTACGAGACCTACCTTGGTTACCACTCCGCATATTAGCATGACCACTAAATCCACCTAAATGACGAGATTGCCCATGTCTTTTAATAAAAGAAGAAAAGAAAAAATATACCATTGAACTATCAGAAATGGCTCTGCTGTGCCACTCATTACTAGTTGTGCATATTTTTGTCATTGCCATGACACAATTTGCACATTCATGCCACATACCACTAACAGCTCAAATAGCCAGTTTGAATACCAATTTTTGGTTTAAAAATACTGAATTGGACAATAACATCAAATTAAACAGGTCACATCACTAACATGTCCCACTTATTTAATACCCATGCCAATTAGCTTTAACCGCTCCATATTAGAACCCGACCCAGACTCTTTTTGCCCAAACCCATAATCCATTCTCCTCAATTCCCTTACTCGACCAGACCCAAATCCTTAAGCCTTAACTCAGTTCTTTTGGTAATTGATCGGGAAAAAAACTATGGCCAAAGTTGACTTCATAGCTTGTTTATGAGGGAGAAGGACAAAAGGAATAGCTCATAAAGGCTGGTTCTCTATTTAAATAATTATTTAAGGTGGTGGGTAGAGAATCTGTTAATGTGGAGTTTCTTATTTTTGAGTATGTAAATCATAGCTTAATATGTAAAGTTTCAGTGTTTTTATGGTTCTGTTCCTTTCTTTTATGGTCCCAAAATGTGTTGTGTCATTCTAGAGTTTTTATATTCACAGATTTTGTATAGCCTATGTATGTTGCTGATGTGGTCCCTCATTTTTTCCTTGGCATGTGATCTTTACCGAAGCATGATTGACAAAGAGAAAGTGTGTTTCCACTATGGGGTGAATGAGTCTTTTCTCCTCACTTATTCAATAGTAAGAAACTGGCGCACTTCTGTCATAGGTTTGACCAAAAACCTGCTTTCTTATAAAGATTTTTGTGGAAGAGTTCAAGAAAGAGCTAAGGTTTATTAAGGTCAAACAATTGTTAGTTGCCAGACCCGAGTAGGGACTATATTATTGATGGAGATGATGGTATTTTAGGGCTTTGCAGAACCTTATTCGCCATGAGTTGGGAGTTATACACTTGTTTGCTGCAGATGAGACAAATTTGATCATCCATAAACATATAATTTTGCATCATATCGAAACATATCATGTAGACGTTGAGGTAGCATCTGATAATGATCATGTTATTGAGGACTATAATTTTTTGATTTGCCAATTTGGAGTATGATGAAGAAATCGAGGTTATTAGTAGGCTGGACAATTATAAGGGAGTTGAAGAAGGATATGACATTTTCTGATATTGTGGAAGGTAGAAGGATAATGAACTACTATGCAATGGCTAATAAGTATGGCTTGAGGACGGAAAAAAATCGATATTTATGACTTGGATGGCCCTTTAAATATATTTCAAGATTATAATAATTATCCTTGAAGCTCCTTAACAGTGTACTTGGAATTGTTTTGTACTCCCTCCATCCTGATTTTTTAAGTGTCTTTCATTTTTGGACTGTCCCAAAAAGAGTGTCTCTTTCTATCTTTAGTATATTTTTCAGTTCCAACATTCTTCTAGGCAAATTTAAGAACACAAGATTTAAAGGACTACACACATCTTTAATTCAAGACAACAAGATTCAAACATTTCTTTATTTCATAAACTTTGTGGACAATTAAACTAAGACACTTAAATTGGGACAGAGGGAGTTATTCTTTCTTCAAGTATTGTGCTAATGAGTTCTCTTGGGTTTTTGTAACAAGGATCACAATTATGTTCTGATTTCAAAGTTTTGTTACTCAACCCAACACTCATTTTATCCTGTGAGATAGGACATCTAAAAGGACATTCCAAGTTCACAAATATACCAAGTCCTAGTGGGATCAGTTTTTACAATCCTCAAGTCATACCCATTAGCCATTGCATAGTAGTTCATTACCCTTTGCACAGAGAAGTAGGATTATCAACTGCTTTTCCTTCGTGCCAACTGGATTAATTAGAAACAACGCAGATAGAATATAAAACAAGGATTTTCATTTGTTCACCCAGCAGAAATAGAACATTAAGATTATTGTGGACATACAGACTTAGATGTGAACTTGATTTCCTGGACTCCCATAATTATCAAAACAAAAGGACAGAGTTCTATGTCGTCAAATAACAACACGAAGTTCTCTAGTAAATGGAAAGAACTAATAACCTTCCGCATTAAATAGAAACAAAAGAACTAAAGTAACCACATTATTCCAACTAACTTCATCACCACGTGAAAAATGGGACAGATAGAGAAGAGAAACCATAAGACAGCTAGAATGATTATCAAGGAAGAATAAACTATATATATGAAGTTGGTCACGTAGTCACTAATGCTTAATGCACCAAAAGTTCAAATTTGAATGGCATAATTACTGGAATTTGGCATCAATAATTAACTAGACCGGATAAAAATATGAAGAAGAATAAAAAGACTGAATTTAGTTCAAAAGCCAATAGCTCATTAAAATGATATGTGCATACCTGCATAACAGGACTCCTGTCTTTGCCCTCCTTCAGTAAAGCTTCAAGCTTCTTGTTATCCATCTGTAAAATACAAGGCAAATTAAGCTCAAGCACTTTGTTAACTTACAATTTAAAGATTGGAACATTTTGAATTAGAACTATGTTGAGTAAGAAAAAAGGGTACCAGAAGTAAAGCAGCTTGAGGGAAATATTTGTAGATATGATCACCAATATTCTTGGCCACATTTCCGACCTCAAAATCATCGGATCTTTCATTTGCGTGAAAATAACCCACAATACTCAAACCTTTATCAGCATAGTACTCCTCAATCTATCCAAATAAAAGAGACTTCCAAACAAGTTAGAAGGCATGGTACATATTTAGTTGAAAATTCTCCAAAACATCCCTTTATACTCAGTTCAAATCTATTATCCTACAGATATAGTGGATACGAACCCACATCTACAAGTATTAACCTGTAATTAGGCCTGGGCATCAAGCTGAGCCCAGCCCGAGCAATTAGTGTACTTCAATTTCATTATAAGTGTACTTCAGTTACTACAAAATACAAACCTAATGCTCAATTTCATTATCAAAACAATTAGTATACTTCAATTGCGCTACTAAAATCCACTTTAATTCAAAGGGAGGGGAACTGACCATGATAAGTGAAATTTCGAGTGGTGGAAGTAAACCAATCTGAGAGTGGAACAACGGAACAGATTCGACAATTTCGACGTTGTCGCCGTTGCCGGATATTCTACCAAGAAGAACACCATTGACGGAGGAAGTCTTGTGCTTAAGGGCATGAAGGATTAACTTGATGTAGGCGTTTTGATGAATCTCGTAATTCGATTCGCCACCCATCTCTTCAAACAATCACTCTGAGAATCCTTATTCCGGCGGCCGGCCGATCGAATCTGTTTCTGCGTCTTTGACTACTCCGATGCTCTCTAGTGTACTTGGAGAATTTTCGCTATAAGTTTTATTTAGAGGGGAATATATATCTTTTAATATATTAAGGATATTTTCTTAACTTCTTTTTATTTGAAATATAAAAATGAGAAAAAATTTCATTTACTATTAATATTATTACTATTATCATGTTATTAAGTAATTATTATATAAAATATTAGTAGTCGAATTTCGTTTTTTATTAATAATGACAATTTATTATACTAAATTTATAATAAGTAAACATTGTAGATTGACAATATTAACTAATTAATTATATAAGTTGAACAAATATCAATTTAATTAAAACTCATCTTTTTTGTTGGATTAGTTCATTGATTTGAATTACAAATGATGAAATTACTTTGCTAAGTCCAAATTGTTATCTTACTTTAGACGACCAATTTACAACTACATGTCAATGGGTGTGTATCGTGCCAAAGTCAAATGAAGAAGACGATAGAATCATGTCACGTGTCAAAATGACATAACATGTCGAGTCAAATTAAACTAATAGAAATACACAGCGTGTACATGTGGTGTGTTCTAACTAATCAAATACGAGTACATCACTTTCAATTTGATTGGCCGAAAAAAGTTTATAAGTTGATTTAAACACCACCATATAAAAGAAAAAAAGAGGACCCTTTCGGCAATAAAAAGAAAGTAATGGCATGATCAAAATGCATCTCTTTTTACCTGTTTTGCCAATTATCAATTCAATTACAGGCCATGTTGTACAGAAATTGTTGCAAGGCCACAGGAAGAGAAAAAAATACAAAGCAATGTAGTGTTTTTGTGGTCACTTGTCCTTGAAAAGCTTTGCTACAAAAGCAAACCATTGCTCTTTCTCCAAAAATTTAGCAATATGACCATCTCCGATTTCGTTCATACTTTGCTCCTCTTGACTCGCTAGATGTTATTTTCCGGACTTTCTTCTGGTTCTATGTCTATGTGATCGCTTCATATCTATATCTGAAACAAAAAAGTAACAATTGCATATCATTGTTAGATCTTAAACCAGGAAATGAATAAGATGTATAATGGCTATGGCTCATTGTTAGAGCTGTATAGATCCTAATGAATCATCAAACAAGAATGGGCCTAGTAACTGTAGTGATTATAGTATTCGAATACTCATCTGTGTATCACTACATACTCCATTTCAGTCAGTAACAGAAGAAATGACTAAATAACATTAATGTGGCATGAAAATGAAGACGATATGTTCTTGCTTGGCAATAGATTGACTTGTTTAGTTGAACAAAAAAATGCATTGTCGTATTAGGGACTAACCTGTCAATCTTCCAGCATTATACAAAGCTTCCTCAGCAATAGGTCTCCACTGTTCAGCACATGAATGACTTATTCCCAGACCAACACTAAGCCCTCTCAGTATTTGCAGAGTTCGAAGAATCGAGAAAAGTTCTTCTGGAAAAGCCTAACATCAAATAGAATTGTGTTCACATTTTGACCTTAGTACTCATGTCACCAAGTACATTTAACAAAATTAATCAGCAAATAAGAAAGGCCGGTGATACAAGGCGTCATTCACTGTACTAAGTGATACAAAGAACTTAAGAAGGTACAAGATCCACCTTATCATTTGCGGAGCATAATGCAAGAGAACAAAACAGACCACTTTTAAGTCACAGAAGCTAAAATCCAGATTATATGGGACCTAATTGAGCTGAATTTTCACAAATTTTTAAGAGACTGAAATTCAGAATGATCCAGAGTCATTTTCATGACGGTTGGACATTATTGCATTTGCATCTTAAGTGAAAGACTTCCAATTTCGACATGATGTGGCCTTTCTCTTTTCTTTTTTATAGAGCACCACAATCATTTAAGAGACAACATTTCTAATGGAAACAATAAAAACTTACTCAGCCTTTGCTGAACGATGTCAAAAAGTTCCTCTCTTTCATGATTCTTGGCTAAACATTTCTCCATTATCATAAAGATTGAGGAATACCAGATTAGTAGCATGTCTAGTGTATGTATAGTAATCAAAGTGTAAGCTTAATCATGGTACTTGTAAGTACTTGTCAAATGGCCATGGCTTCAATTTCAATATTTTAGTTTCCTTTCCGCAGAATTTGTTCTAGAAGCTTATAAGAATTCGTCTAGTATAATGATTTGTGTAGTTGCATTTTAAGCACAGGTGCAAAATGTGAAAGTAGTCACTATATTGATTTAGTTGGCTGAAAGACGTAGGGACTATGTTGTTCGGACTCTTCAAAAATGTTGCCGCACCCGTGTAAGATCCTCTAAAATACACTATTGTTGGAGGATCCGACATGCACCTGATATAATTTTTTAAGAGTCCGAGCAACATAGCCCAGGGATACAGATCAGTCTATTGTGGCTATAGATCGGCAGTCTGCTAAGTTTATTTGCATGACCACAAACTATGTGGCCTTCTATCTCTATTGATCACAATATCCTCCAACCAATACTTGAACCAAACAGCTCATTTTTTCAATATATATGTCCTTATAACAAAATGCATAGAATTTATTATAACTTCCCATCAGAAGATTGTTTGACCCCACGTAATTTTTTTCTGAGATGTCCATGCTTTTGAGTCGAAGCTCCAAATAAATAGGAATTTGAGGTAATTATGTATAGATAGAGTTCAGCAATGAATATTGTTCTGCTAAAGATTTACTTCTCAAATCAATTCATCCTCCCAATGCCATCCTAAGCAAGTTATTAACTTTAAATGGAAAGAAACTCCTTTTGCAGTGTCCCAAAATTATGATCACTTTCATAAAAGATAAACTCTTCTCTGTACTCTCTTCACTAATTCTATAGTTCCTTATTACCAAAGCATCAACAAAGACATGACGACTGATAAAATTTCAAATTCTTTAGTCAGGGTTATCAAAATACAACTGCGTCAACTCTTGTCTTCAATATCCATCACTAATCAAACTGATAGACCTCAATGGGGAAGGTAGTATCATGTGGAAAAGATCCTTAGATTCTTGAATGGTAAATGCAACCCTTTCTAAAATGATTAACATTGGGAACTGGTAAATACCATAAGTTGAGAGAGCAGGTACCGCATACCTCAACTGCAATTTTTTTGACTGAAGATTCTTCTGAGAAAGGTTGCATCATCTTTACACCAGGTGGTAATTTTGTGTCAAACATCCCTTGTGCCAATTTAAGCATTTCTTTCTGCTCATCCTCACATTTGCTTAGGGTATCTATGCCAAGCTCCCTTTAATTCAAAGTGAGAAGTTCAAAGATTGGAAACATATCAGTACTAAAAGAATGTAATTATTGCAATAACATTAACTCCGTAATAGAGTTAAAAAAATCATTTCCATCTCTGTTATTAGTGCCAAGAGTAGTTGGTTTCGCTCCAAAAAGTCAACTCCAGTTTCCATTCTTCACACTTGAATAACTAATACGTAAACTACTACTACTTCCTTTTCTGTTTATTTTTTGGAAGAACATTTGTGATTTCAAGCTTTTGAGATCTCCCATTAGTATTTTGCATCATGTTGCTTCGTCAGGAAGAAAACTATTCTTGAAATTATAACAAGAGATTCATTGAAAAGTTTCTCACTTAAAGCTTTCTTTGGCCGTAGTAGCATTGCCATCAGCAATAGCAAGAATAAGTTTAGCATATCCAAGCCTGAGATTTTCTGGAAGATCCTTAACTTGTCCATAGTCCAGCAATGCAACCTTAATAAGAGAAGAATGCCGCGATCCTTGTCAGAAAGCTAAACAAGAACAATTATATGTGATAACCTAATTGAAAGAAGAAAACGAAAAGATGCATACTAACCTCAGCACCTTTGCAGATTAGAATATTCCCTGGATGAGGATCTGCATGAAAGAAACCACTCCTGAGTATCATTTGTCCATAAGCTAGGGACAAACTTTTAAGTATGTTCCTGCATGTAGAAGTAACAAATAAGAGAATAGTACCCCAGTTTACCATATTCTCAATGAAACAGAATCAGGTTGAAATGATCCTTCGAACAATTAGAAACTACTAACTTTATAAATAGTAGATAACAGTGGAGATTGAAAGAGTTGGTTGGTCCTTGTGGGGTCAAACCCAATGGAAGAAAATTCCATGTGTCAATTTAATTTACTAGGAATTGACAAGATTCAAGATGAATTAATGTGAAGTACTGTTAAAAAATAATTTTTTATTAGTACAAAATAAAAGTTCAAGATAGTAACTTGGTAGGTGACATTTAAGTAACCCATAAATTGGTTCCACATATTAAACCTTGACATTTTGACACGTTCTGATGTCATGGATGACATCAATAAGAAGAATTCATTCCTATAAATAAGTAGCTCTTAATTCAGTTGTAAGACAACTCTCACTTGCCTTCTCATCTTCTACGGCACTTTATCTTCTTACTCTCTTGTGATATTTCACTTGTAATGTTTTGGAGTGAAATAAATATAAGTACAGTTGTTCTCCAGTTGTTCTCCAGTGGATATAGGATCATTCTGATCCGAACCACGTTAAATATAGTTGTTCTTCCTTGTTCTTTATTTTTACGTTTTCGTTAATAATTGGTATCAGAGCCAAGGGGTTGCAACATAATATGAACTCCCACATTTCTTTACTTTGGTTTTCTGTATTTCCAAATACTTTGTATTAGAAGAGGACGAACAAGTAAGGTGAGTTCCATAAAGTTTGAAATTGATAGATTTAGTGAGATGCAACAACTTCAACATCTAGAAGATCCAGATGATGGCGTTATTAGGAGGAAAGGTTCAATCACTGCTATTGACGGTAAGTACCCCGATAACACATCGAATTCCAACAAGAAGAAGATGCATTGAGTGTAATTCAACTATCCCTTGCACCTAAATTGCTTTGTGAAGTGAGGATAAGTACCGAGGAGACCGTCAAATAATTATGAGAAAGGTTGGAAGGCCTTTACCAAGATGGGTCAATGACAACAAGGATGTTGTTACAACGGTGTCTTCACACATTTAAGATGGATTTAGGTACTTTTTTGCAGGTTCAAATAGATTCGTTCAATAAACTT